AAAGCCAGCCCGTCCGGTGAAGGTACAATGGCGGGGCACCTAAGGTATCCCTTTACCAAAACCGTGTATTAGACAAACAACCAAACTTTTACGTACACCCTCTCCTCTTTTGAGCGGCGTCTTTAGCGCCCCCATTAGTCCACCTCCCACGTCAGCAATCACAACGCAGTCGGTGCTGTAAGCAAAACACTCACGAGCCAACCATGGCAGTCATCGAACGTCCATGCAACTGAGGAGACACTTGACCACAATGCCACTTATCCATCTTAGCAGTTCTACTGGATATGGAGCTTCGTCCTGTGTAGGAACTGGATTCAGTGACAGGGAATAGAGCTGACCATCACGCGTGTCTGCAGCAAATCGTAGAAACACCGGCCGAGCCAAATAACAAAGGACGGGATTTAGCATAGCTAGATGGGAAGCAAGGTTTTGCGCCTACTCCACCTTGCCACGTTGCTCCCACTTCAGCAGTGCCCAGCCATATCTGTCCATCTGGGTCCTATCTAGCTAGCAGAGAGGTGGAGGAGGTATTGCGAGTTCGCCTATTTGATATCCTCATACAGGTGCGGTAGTCAACTCCGTAACGAAACTTTCCCACATGGTTCACGGGCACGGCTAGTTTCGCTTGAGTTGTTAATAGCTCTCTTGGCGACTACGAGACTGGAGTAGTTGCAGAAGGAAAACGTCATTTTCAGACCTTCCATTAGAGGCCGTCACCGACTCTCCCATCAGCAGTGTATGCACTTCTTCCACCCCGCTAATGTTTATCACCTAGCAGTAGGGATCAGGATGGATGTCTTTTGAGATGGGGTTCGCCTTCTGCTGCCACCAGTGTAGCGTACCGAGACTTCGTAGAAGGCGAAAGAAGACACAATACTTGGCCAGAATATAAATTGCCGATATGCAGTAGCGATTGGAGCTACTGGCATGACCCGGAGACCAGCCCACCTGGTGAAGGTCCAATGGCGGAGTGCCTAAGCAGTCTCGTTACCAAAACCCC